CCAATTTATTGATAAGCATTGGTTTATTAGAAAAACAATGACAAATTAACGGATATGGGAATTCCAATTGCGTGTTCTAATTCGTAATCTAATTCTTGGCATGTTAGGTACCATGTTACAAACATCATAATTATTATAATATATTTACTGCTAATGTAACTGACTAAACTTTTGTGATAATTCAAATTCTGGAACATTGCAAAATATTACCTATCTATTTCTAGATTAATATAAAATGTATCGACTTGCTACACGACACTAATTATTGCAATAACTGAACCTACTTTGAAAGGTGGTGGTTGCACCATTAGATGTATTCCTAAGTATAAATATAATTTCCTAGTTACAACACTTGTTGCAAAACAAAGGATCCGATACCCTGGGACTTGACGCAGTGCTCATGTGTCATATGATCTTATAGTTACGACCGGCTCGGCTGGATCCGTGACATAATAGGTACACTTTCACTGAAAGGCACCCAAAGCCGCGCCTAACTAAATCGTGTGCCTTCCTTAAATGTTACGGAATATCACGCGATTGCATCTTGCACTTCCCTGATCTTAACAAATAGAGTTTCAAAATAGGTCGTTCGTTGACTTTTACTAGTTTATTCAGGTTAGATGTGAAGATAACGGTAATGTTTTATAACTAGTGAGAAGTGGTCACGGTTGAGGAGTAGCAAAAAGCAGTCACGTGTTTTGAAGTATTAAAGCCGATTTTTTCGCCTATTTATGTAGGAATGTATAATACTTGTACCTCCTTATTAGTTTATCTAATGTTAAAGTAGTTCAACAGTTAAAACTTGACAGACACATTCTAGATGAAATCTGAGAATATATTTAGAAATAATTTTGTAATACGTTCGGACACCTACACAATGTAAAGATTTGATTGTCTGTAAGTATGGGAAAATATAAATTGGAAATGGATGCAATTTTTCTTACATTTCCATTGTGTTCATAGTTACACTGCAATACACATCAAACTGAACATTATTAGTCGAATTACAAAATGACACACACAGTTATTTGGACACAGTGTTTGAAGTTATTTCGTAATTTTAAACGTCTATTTCCGTTCGAAAGGGAAAGTCTTATGTAAATGAGGTGAGGACTTCGCTGCGGTTTTTGGGCATCGAAACAAAACCGTGAGTGCCAACGGTAATAAGGTATAAGGCAAGGCAGGCATTTTATAACAAGATACCTTCAGTTTATTAATCATGCCTAAAGGATTTACACATAAAATACTGTAAGAATCTCAAGAGATTAACAAGCAGAAAGATTTATAATTGTAAGAAGATTCCCAATAAAGTGTCGTCGTACACACAATAATTTACATAGCTTACTTCCAAAACTGATGACGTAGACACCTCCAACTCTCGTTATGGACATCACACACTCTGATGGTGGGTACTTCAGGATCTATAAAGTAATTACAATCGCAGAACACTTTGAGACAACGTCTTGAAATCTGTTCTGCTTAAGAGTGCTAAAAGAGGAGATGTGTGCGAGATTGCTAGAAGAAGATGAAGAAGTAACTAACTGCCGTCAGTTACTACTACTTGCTGGTAGAAGAACGACAAAGGAGTTGCTTAATTTACAGCCAAAAAAGATCCAGGTTGTTCTAGGAATAATACTGACTGAATAAAGACAAAATTCCAAAGATTTAAATTGATTGCGTTTAAGAATAAACGGCCATATAACCCAGGTCAGGACAAAATACAGTACTCCAACGATTGCTTAAGGATGTCTAAGAAAAAGCAGAATGAAGCCAAAAGAAACACACAGTGTGCCAACCAGGCGGGAAGACTGGAGCATATTACTCTTACCACAGTTCACTGACTAGGTCAAAATAGCGATACAATAGCTCTTCCGAGGGTAAAGGCATCGGCTCCTCTGAAACAGCATCTACTACTGACGACACTATCAATTCTGAAAAAATAAATTTAAATGTCAACGACAATCTACAAACAATTCGTTATTTTAAATCACAGTCCCATTTAAACAACACAAGTAGCTTTTGAGTGTGGGAGAGCCATGCTTCGGCACAAATGGGCCGGCTCGATTAGAGTGACACCACGACCTCACAGAAAAATGTACGTGAAATAACGCTTGCGTTGTATTTCCTTGTGTGAGTGAGGTTACCGGAGGCCCAATTACCCTTCTCCCCAGTCTCCCCAATTCCCGAATCCCCTACAATACTCAAATTCCCAATTCCCAAAAGGCCGATAACGTAACACCTCTGGTGTTCCAGGTGTCCATTGGCAGCGCCGATTGCTTACCATCAGGTGATCCGTCCGCTCGTTTATCGGCTTACCCCATTAAAAAATAAATAAATAAATAGGTACTGTTATTATGCTCTCCACAAAATGTGGGCGAAAGTAAAAGTATCCTCAATAAACAATAGGTACACGAATATGACCTCATTGGCAGCGTTACTGCCTGCAATGATAACCGTTTATTCAGTTATGTAAGGAACCACTATTGGGTCTAACTTCATATAATTTTTGTTGCAATAAATACCTCTTTATAATATGTAGGCGTCATTTGAAGTTAAAAAAATATTATAGAACATTCTGGTATACAAGAAGATAATCGAATAGAAATATCTAATTCAACAAAATCTAGGCTGAATTATCATACTAAATATTAATGGTTTACTATATATAAGGAAAGTTAGATTAGATATCAAACAAATTAATACACAAGCAATAAAATTTAAATGGTAATCTAGACCAATAGAAGATAAATGGCAAATTTTACGCAATCAAATCCAGGAAATGAGGATATTATGCAATAATGACCTCGATGAAATACTAACTTCTGATATAATAGGTGATAATAACTAGGTAGTAAAAGTTCTGAAGTAAATGATCGTGACTTGAAGTTCAATCGAGTTAAACTTTAACCACGGGTAGGGTAAATGGAACATTAGGTACAAGTTTAACTTTATTAAATCTATACTACCTATACAGATAAACAAAATTGGAATGTCTGTTTGTAATTTTAAAATAGCCGCTTTTTACTACATGCGTATGAATACACTGATGATGTACATATACCAAAATATTTTTTTTTACAATTATTGTTTGTTTGTCTGTCTGTTTGTACTGGCTCTGGAGTTTACAAGACTTTCATTGGCAGGTAGTTGATGTACTAAGGAGTACTATATATAATAGGCTACTTTTATTATAGAAAATTAAAACAATTTTACGCAAAGCCGCGGGCAATAGCTAGTTTTCTACTAAAGTCTAAACTTTTTATAACTTACATATCTAATAAACCATAGAATACGGAGTATCGTAACGTAAACGTAAAAACTGCTGTTCTATCTTCTAATAAACTTTTGGTCATTTTCTGCGAGTAAATATTTACCGTGAATTATGTTATGATCGTGCTTGACAATATAATATTAAGTCATCGAGTTCAAGAGCTACCTCATTCATTGTCGCTGACTTTACAACTGGCCATCAAAAGTCAACATTAACTATAAAAACTGTTAACTTTTATGACTTCTTTGTAACTAATAGTATTGTAACGTTTCATTTTAAACGTTATTTATTGGTCGGCACGTACTTAAGATTAACAATGGCATTAACTGATTTTCATCTGTTAAAGAATTATCTACAGTTACATACTTAAAACTAGCTGAACCCGAAACTTCATTTGCGTTTTTTGTAAAATAAAAGTAACATAATTATGTTCCTCCTTACCAGCTATCTATCAATAAAAGTCCCGTCAAAATCGGTCCAGCCATTACAGAGAGTAGCCAGTACAAACAGACAGACAGACAGACAAAAATTGTAAAAAGTGTTATTTTGGGTATACGTATCGAATGTTATATTCATATGCATGTAGGAAAAAGTGGTATTTCAATATTACAAACAGTCACTCCAATTTTATTTATCTGTATAATGTTTCTCATACTGTTCTTACTGTTTGTTTAGGCTCACGGAGCGAATAAAACATTTTAATTACACAATGATGCTCCCACGAAGATATCCGTTAAGTACTACTACCGACGATTGTGTAAGTACCATGCGTCTTATATGAAACTTATGCAACTTTTTAGTTCCGTTGAATCAAGACCTCTGACCGGTCACATTGCGCAATAGATTGCAGATAATAGATATGTTCTACTTTGTGTATTTGCGTATATTCATGAGCTATCAATTTTGTAACGGTTTTGGTTTTATTAGATAATAATATCAATTTGCAAATTGGTTGATGCCACGGAAACCTTGTTTCCGGAGTCATTATGATTTTGACAATATATTTTCTTTGTGTCGTTCTGAATGATGAAATCAACTTTATTGAAGCTTAATCTAGTTTAACTTAATGCACAGAAATATTTTGTTGGAGTTATTTTACTTTAATTAAGTAATCTTACTTTCACGATTATCTTTACGTGATTAATATTCCTAATTTTTTTTAAGGGGGAAAATCATCGAATGACTCCTTCCGCCTGGGTGAGGCGAGAGGGCGTGTCAGACTCTTACTGACTAAAAACCAACCTGTTCCTACTCTGGCCCTTCGAGCCGGAGCCCCGGCAACCCTTTAAGTCCTCATAAGAGCTAAAGTATAGTAACAAAAACACAATAGTCTTCTGTGACAGCTTGTAAATAATTCATTTCCCGATAGTCGACGGTGTTTTTTTCAATCAGTATGTAATGACTGTTTGCGCAACAATGTTTACTACACCGCGTACAGGCCCGTAGGTTGGAGATTTTACATAATATCCAGAGCACTTGTATAAACAACTTGTTTGTTTGGCCATTCTTGTTTATGTTTTTCATACTGAACATAACGAGTTTTATTTGCTCATTTGGGATTTCACGTGTAGTCAGAATTTACTAGTTATTTGTCAAAACTATAAATAGTAGCCACCAGCGAACAAAATGAATGATACCTTATTCATCGCTATTTTATAATTCGGTTTTAAGAAAGAGAGAGTAGAGTAGAGAGTATTTCGCTATTTTTTGTGTTATGTTGGTATTTTACCGTCTAGTTGCGAGGGATATTTGTGTGCTGCATATCCAGTGGGCACGGAAGGAGCTGTGAAGTGCGCCGGAGCAGTGGGCGTGCCATACGCGGTCGGGGGCCCGTACTCTAAATGAGCGGTCGGCGGGGGCCCGTACACTGCAGTCGCTGAAAGATTAACGCAAAATCTCTTAGCTTATACATTTTTACAGGATTCTATTTGATTTAAGATGGACACTGAACTAAAATCAGGCAATATATAATTGTATGTTTTGTCATATCATGTTTAAACAACACCATTAATTAAACATGGGAGCAAAGAAACGGAATCATATCAGAAAATGTTTATCAAAAAATTAAAAAAGAAAAAAGTCAGTGATTCCGTTTCAGTGCTCCCGAGTGTATAACTCGAGATCAATAAGACTGGATTACTTAAATTGGTGAATTCACCTACTTATTGTATTAGGTACTTGAAATTGGGACTTTGTTCATTAAAAATAATGAGTACGACTTAAGGATAATAGGTAGGTAATGTTACACCTAGTTCACATATTATTCACATTAAGGTTTCGCAAAACTGATTTCATTTACCTTGTTCTATGATAAACAAATCGCAAACTGAGACCGCAATATTTTTTATTTTCCATGGAGTTTATAATATATTACGTAAGCTGTTTGTTCGGAATTAAATAATATTTATTTCATAACCACATTGGGTTTTCTAATAACAATAAATAGTATAGCGGGTAGGTAATTTTGTATGACACATTATTAAAATGTATGTCCTTGTAATCATTATTTGCAATGAAATGATTAATTATTTTGATGAAATATATAGGGTATCCCTGAAGTCGATAATTAAATGGCACCAGATGATCGGTAAGGTTCCAATAGTCATCAGAAAAATATAGAAAAAAATTCAAGTCATGTAGTTTTTAAATTACAAAGACTTATATGTCATCCACGAAAAAGTACACGCTGTGCTAGTCTTTTGACTGTTGTTACTGCGATTCTTTATTTTTTCGTCTATATTTTTGCTTACGTTGTTTCGAAATAGGTCTTCAGTGTTATGGAATCATAAATCCTGGGTAAACTGCTTTAGTTTGGAAAAGAATATAATTTTTTGGTAAATCGAGTATTTTCAATATTTTGTATCTAACTTTAAGAGACTGTACTGAAAAAAAATGTACTAATCGTCTGGTGCCATTTCATCGTCGACTTCAAGGACGCCCTATAAATACTATTCTGGCCACGGAGGTTTCCCTGCAACTACGAAACCCTTGTGTTCAAACAGCCAACAAGTTACAGCAATTTCGATTCTTGCAGGGTACAATTAATATAATATATTTTTTTACGCCATTGATTGGGAACTACGCCTAATTTTTAAATAGCGTTATACTCATTTAATAAAAACTTTTTACCCAACACAAATTTATATGAACTTGTGTATGTGAACTTGTATGTTTGTAAACGCACCCACGACACAGGAGAAAAATTTAGTGTGAAGCAAATCTTTATTAAAAAACAAACTGGGTTGTAATCACACTGGTAGTTCCAAGTATATATGCGATTCCAGTCTTTACAGAAGAAAGCAAAGAGGAAGTCATGAAAAGTAAAAACATATAGTTGTACAAGACTAACGTCTATAGGCTACATAAATGTTTCTTTGTACCTATAGTACGGTTAACACCAAAAATTTATGAAAAAAATTTAAAAATCAAAAAATATGTTTTTGATTTTTAAAATCGCTTTACACCTAAATCGGCGAACATGACTAGCACCTTAAATGAAACGCAAGATAATTATTTATTTCTGGTGCTTATTCTGTTCATCGGTAGTACGGTGAAAATCTAAATGTGTTCATAAACTTTTGATACTGACCGTACATATAGAACAATTTTAAAATACTATAAGATCCTAATTTCTGTCATTAGCCATGAGTTAGTACCACACGGAACTTCTATAACTCATGGGTCAATTAAGGACAATAGCCCTTAAAACAAATCTAAATAAAATGAATATTAATGACATCACAATGAGTTCCAACTAATGCAAATCCACGTAATATGTACCTATAGAAATATACCTGTAATATAATAATGTAATATAATTACGTTAGTAACAGGCAGGTAATTGTCATAATATGTTACAGGTCACCATGAACGGTATGAACCTAGTGACGTAGAGTTTGTGGTTGACCTAGTTAATATTTTGCATTAATTCTAGACAATAACGGGAATCCCTAATCCTCCAAATACTGACAGGGATATGTTGACGTCAACAAAAGTTATTTAATACTTTATTTTTTTGTCTGCCTCGTTGGCCGAGTGGTCGCAATTGCGACTGCCGGGCAAGGGGTCTCGGGTTCGATTCCCGGGTCGGGCAAAGTATTACTGGGCTTTTTCAAAAAAAATTCTCAGTAGTAGCACGGAGTCTGGAATTGTGTATGGCAATAGGCTCACCCCCTATTACATGAGACCCATAACATAAATAGTGAAAAGTGGATGTTACATTGTACAGTGGCATTAAGTGCCGTAATGTTCACCTCTGCCTACCCTTTCGGGGATAAAAGGCGTGATGTTATGTGTGTGTTGTTATTTTTTTGAGGGGCGTAAATCATTCAATGGCCTCTCCCGACTTGAGTGAGGCGAAAAGGAATGTCAGACTTTTATTGACTAAAAACCATCCTGTTCTTACTCCTGCTTCGACTCGCCGCCCCGGCAACCCGTTAAGTTGTCCCCAGTGTTAATGTAACTAGACGTAATTAAATATCTACTGCCTACACATATTTTACCTCTCTCATGTCTTATCTTAACTCTATAAAAAGAAGCGTTTTGCAAATGACAGATAGGTTTATAGACACAGTGTTTATTAAACATTTACAGATTGGTTCAATAGTATCCAACATACTTTTATGACATATTTACAATTCTTTAGTGTTTACTTAATTCTAACTATAATGTACATAATCTGGATGGCAACTTTCCTTAGATCTAAGATCTACGTCTAAACGCAGTTCAATTCAGGAACATTGATTTAGATTACTCGTTCGGATTACACCATTACTTACCTAATACACATCTAAATAAATTACATAAGTACAAATAAACAACAAAATGGCAAGATTCGTAGATTAATTACTTACTACATAAACTAATTACATGTGTCGCAACTAAATGGATTTATCACATTTTTTTTCTTATTTGCATAATTCGTAGCTCCAAAAAGTATGTGACCGCATTTTTTATGGTTAATTACATGTAGAATCTGACATAACATTTGATTGCTATGTAATATTATTTATAGCTAGAAGCTATAAGTAATAAATCGACCCTTTTTAAACTTCGCTGATTGACCAATAAATATTACATTGAAACCTCAATTCAATTGCTACTCGTATACGATATTGCTATGATGTAGATCTTTGCTATCCGATGATATAAACACCTCTAGTAATACAAGAGTAGATTATCTCTATAATATAAAAGTAAACCGCTTAATGTGTTGTTAACCGCACATCTTAAGAACTGCTGAACCGATTTCCTTATTCCTTTTATTTGTTGGATTTGTTAAAGTTAGGAGAAGGTTCGAAAATATTTACATAGGTCCACAGAAAAACGTTCAGGGTTAAACAAAGTTCACAGGGTGGACTAGTATTAAATAAGTTACTCACAATGTGGTTTCTTGTGGCTAAGAGCAGCGGAACTGACGATCTTCTTGCCGAGATTGCTGACGGCGTCTCCCTTGCTTGAGATCACCTTGCCCAGCGTGGCAGCAAGCGCTCCGCCTCCCTTGATGAGCTGGCCCTTCAGTATCGTCACTCCTCCGGTTATGGCTTTCACGGCTTGGAACAGAGTGTACAGGATAGATTTCTTCAGACCCCAGTAGTCGTACTTCTCGTCTTCTTGATGCTGGAATTAATTTATTATCAAAATGATACCAAATGTTAGTCACTGGTTAGACAATTCGGATTTGGTAGGTTAATTGAACAATTCTTTCTCAGAATCTTTCTTTCCCAATAATTTAGTAATTTTACCTAAAAATAATAATCATCCACAGGATAAGAAAGAACGATTGGGTTTTTTATACTACTATGAATAATTGGATAGTAACAACGTCGCCTAGGTAACTGTAGGATGTCTCCATCACCTCTATTACTAGTAGTAACTCTATTAAGTTTAGTACATTTTGATTGTGTTTTAGAAATCAGACGAAATATGTGTTATTAACAATTTGTCTGTCTGGTATATTACCGGTTCGTAATTGTATCCGTGGCCCTCCTCCCCGTGGCCTCCGCTCTTACTGGAGGCTGACGCGATGAAGGCAGACGCTTGGCCCAGCAGTCCCACTTTGCTTTGAAGCCCTGATGATGCTTTGGACACCACTGACGTTAGCGCTTGGGCTGACGACCGTTTTGTTCTGTTGTGATAAAAACAATTTGTAGGTTTAACAAAATCATATTTTTTAATATTGCCTGCCTTATAATACTGCATTTGTAAAGCTTTGCGGTCCATTACAAAAACCTACTATTACAAAAACAATATAATTTGAATTAAACATAACTTGATGCATCAATATATAATAGTACCTCATAATTTCTTCAGCTGCTAGACCCTCTGCCAGGGCTTCGAGTTGTTGTGGTGACATCCTGCTGATGGCGGCCATGTCGATAATATCCAAGTATAGTTGGGGGCCCTGTGACGGAGCTGGAGCTGCCAGGGAAGACGCCAGACAAGCCACGCACAGCCATAGCTGATGAAGGAAATAAAGAGGTCATAAATAAAAAGTGATTTTCAATGTTTCATCAGAGTTTTATGTTCATACGAATTATCTAAGTGTCAGTGTTATCTAGAGAATTTGTACATAAGCAATTTGAAGTTACTTTGCACCCAAGTTAACAAAGGCTTGTATGTCTTAATGTTACGTCACATTCGGTAACAAAGTAGGAAGATGACTCGTTGAAAGAACAGTTTACCCATTGTCAACAACACGTGAAGCTACCTCAAATAATTGTGCTCAGCAACGTATGTATTTAATCACACCAACTCTTTATGTCATGACAAAGCTTGACAATAAATTGCGTAGGAAATAGTAACTTTACATTACTTCATACGACTTGTTATCGTTTCAACATTTCCCGTAGAATTTAAGTAATAGATATAAGACAATAGCTATGTTGTTATAAACATAATATGATTATGACGACAGTGCGCGGCCGCGAGCCGAGCCTTGGCAGTGAAAGAAAAGTGAAAGTTTTTTATGCGCGCGCGCCGCTGTGACGTCAACCCGCATGGTTCCGCTTGGTGGGGCTACAACGTTGTTTGTGGCGGAAGCGATCAGCTGGTAATCTTTTTTAAGATCCTCCAATAGAGATGATAATAATTCCAATAACTGCATAATTCTACATCCAGTGTAGGTGTTCAATTCAGTACAGTACAGTACAGTTATTTTAAAAATATCTTATCTTACTTATCTACATAATATACAAGTGTGTATATCGCTGATTTCATTGCCTCCAGGTTATTGACAAAATGAATGAATCTTCAAATTTTTGTGTCGATGTGTAAGCTCTACGAATGTTAATTTAATAACTTTAAGTGTGCTAAGTAACTTTCTAATGCTAAAATTGAACTGTGGAAATATATTTAAGAAAATTGACTATAATAATAGCTTTTATTAACAGTTTTTTAATGATTTATTTAGACTTAGTACAAAAACATATGTACAGGTGGATTTAATGCCTTGGGCATTGTCTTCCAGTCGATTACCAATTTATGATAACAATGATATACGAGACAACTTTATCTCAAAGTGTAACCGCCTTAGATATAATCGAATACTTTTAATGTGTCTTTACTATGCACCAATAATTTGGTAGGCAAAATTATTATCATGCAAACATTTATAATCAAATAAAAAGAATATTTCTTTTCTAATATAGTTATCTCGGTCAAAAGTGGGTATTACATTGTACAGTGGCAATAAGTGCCATGATAATGCGCACCTTTGCCTACCTCTTCAGGGATAAAAGGCGTGATGTTATGTTATCTCGGTACCTACATTTCAAATTGACGTTTCACCAACCAAAACAAATAAACAGTGTAAGTTATGTAAACAAACGTACACACGTAGAAGGTATATGTATACATGATACATAGGGATGTATATCAAACATGATATCTTAATTCCATATAAAGGTAACGAATGAAAACGACATTTATCTTTTCTGGGCCTTTAGCCAAACGCGACGTTAGCGCTTGTCTATAGAGAGAGTAGACATCAAAATGTATGGGGATGACACTGACAAATGTCAAAATTTACATCAATACCATATAATTTAGTTTTCTATTCTACATGTAGACAAGCGCTAAATGGCATTTAGCTACAGCTGCTGGACTTTAATAAAAGAATTTATAAAACCAAAGACTTAACAAATTAAGGGCCGACTTTTCAATCATCAGTTGATACTTAACTGTAGAATAAAATTGACAATTGACAGTTTTTAATACGAAAGAATTGTCAAATATTCAAAGTGATTCCTCAGTTATAATTCCTAATTAGTTTAGCAATGAGTAAGTATATCCATATTACTGGAAGCTCTAACTGTGTCAGTCAGCGAATTAAGCGCAGTTACATCGTATATGCACTAATTAATACAAATAATAGAGACACTTATTGTGTATCTACGCATAAAGATATGACACTCTGTGCGCCACAACAGTAATAATTAACTAACATTTAATTTCCTGTTGTTCGTTGCGAACATTTAGAGAAATCTTACCTCGTAAGTAAGTGGGTCTCATAACATTAGACCATAACGAAGAAACTACATTTCAAGTGAACTAGAAGGTAGGTACTTCATAAATATCAACACATTACCCTTATCTTGCCAAACAGGTACCAAATCATATAAAATTAAGTAATTACTTAATAGAATATACCGGGCATGATTCCAGACTCCGTGCTACTACTGAGATTTTTTTTAAATCCCAGTAATACTTTGCCCGACCCTGGAATCGAACCCGAGACCTCGAGAAGAAGAAGAAGTCGCACTTGCGACCACTCGGCCATCGAGATCCATAATTTTCGTAGAAACATAATAAAATTATATTACCCTTGATTTGCATTGATCTGTGCCAATTAGGCCAATAAACCAATTCATGGTATCTACATGTACTTAAAGAATTAGCGAGTTTGAAGGAAACTCTTCAATTACAGGTTACAAAGCGATAGAGTGCCAATAAAAGTGTCACATGCGCCAATTTGAGCGCAGTGGAGCGGTGTAATAGCATATCGGTATCCACCATTTCCTTTTAAGACATTTTTTATTTCAAACAATGGGCGGCAAAGAATGATTATTATGTCGTAATATGGCGTCGCTTACATAAAACGTTTACAATTTCAGGGACTCAGAAAAAATAAATACCTAATAGTAATGCGGTCACAGTTTGCGCATTTTCGTTGTTAACAAATGTCGTAGGTTTTTTAGAAAGTGGTGATGCCAATGTTTGATCTTTGATCTTTCTTCTAAATGCGATACGATGAATTTGGAAACAGTAAAGTTGCTCCCTTCCAGGTACGATATGAGTATATAATTAAAAAAAATCATTATTAATTAGTAGATAATTCAAATTAACTGCATTATTAGCCGAGTAGTCGCAAGTGCTGCCGGGCAGGTCTCGAGTTCGATTTCCGGATCGGGCAATGTATTAATGGGCTTTTTAACAAAAATCTCAGTAGTAGCACGGAATCTGGAATTGCCCCAGTATATGGCAATAGGCTCACCCCTTAGGTATCTCATGGCACTGATAACATAAACAGTGAAATGTGAGTATTACATTGTACAATGACATTAAGTGCTATAATGCCCTTTTTTGGTAAAAAGGCGTGATGTTATGTTATAATTCACTGTTATTAAAATGTATATCTTAATTAGTTTAAACAGTCGGTACTTTGACTCTTCTGTGCTCTAGACAGTCTAGACGAACAAACCCGAAACTAAGTAAATACAAATAATTAATACTAATTTAATAAATCAATGAACCTCTTCTTAAGTACAATCGATCATGTAGATCTCACGTAATATTTACAACGATTATAAATGCTAAACACGGGCATAAGTGTTTTTATAAACTCGGATAATAATTTTGTCCAACCTATTAGTCAATAGGCGATATCATGTTAGGTGTTAACTGTTAAGTAATGTTCTCAATAGTAACAGGTTCAAACGACGTAATTAAGTAACGTAGGAGAAGAATTGTTACATTATAATCTGCAAACATCAGTAATTTTGTAATCTGCATTAACATCCTGGTAAACAACTAGACATATTGCTGTAAGTGTTGCCAGTTTTGCAGATGGTACGTATATATACATCTGCAATTATTATGAGAGTGACTAATATTTTGTTCGTTTTTTAAAGGGGAAAATCGTCAAAGGACATCTCCCGCCTTGGGTCGGGACGAGATTAAGTCTAAGACTAAGTCAGATTGACTCTTAATTACTGACTTAAAACCATCCTGTACCTACTCCAACTGCAAGATTGTCTGCAACTCCGGTCAGCCATCGGCTTTGTCTTTCGTGAAAACCAGTTGAGCATAAATGCTGGATCACAAGCAATTACGTGACACCCGTCCACAAAGTTATGGAAGCACCTTCCGATGGCAGTTTACCTGTCATTAGTGTGTGTGTATGGCAAACCGGATTGTCTGTCAGAAAAACCGTAGTCTACTTTCTTTCCTTTTCGATTCCGGTCCGCACACATATGACATTATTAATATTTATTTTAAACTTTTCCTTACTAAGAACGTCTTAAATGGAACTCTTTTGATTTAACAGCGTCTCTCTAGAATGTTTTCACACAAAAAGCACGTCAGATTTTTTCTAATATAGGTAAGGACGTTAATGTTTCTGAACTTACGAAAAATAGCACACCTGCTAACTTTACGTGTTTCATAAAATCTGTTTAAAACCTATTTTTGTTTTATTTTCACAATCATAATTACGTGCGTCCTTTCATCATAATCTTAATGCGGTGAATGTACCATCAACATGTCTATAATCATGTGAAGTGCCATCAATATGATGGATAACGTAATAGTGAACGGCATCTCTCAAGCAACTGTTACCGAATTTTGCTCTTATAAGTTCAGTGGATGTTTCAAACAAATTATCTTTAACATGACATGATTTTTTTATTTAATAGATTTGTTGCTCGTATTATTTGTAATTATAATAAAAATATAAAGTTATATTATTGACGTTGACATTGACATTGTATTATAGATGAATCTGATTAACTTTCAATCGAAACACATGAATATTGAATAAATTATATTATTAAGTTCCTCGTCGTATTTTCTCTGTGCAGGAATCATTCAGAATTTTAGCTCTCAACAGTGAAAGTTAGAGTGCAAGTCAAACATACCCAGGCCCGGTGCCTGCACTGCCGTGTTCAGAGTGTTAATAACTTGACTACATATTATTATTACGGTGGAATGTACCTATGTTTCTTCCTACATTTCCTTCTGGGTTAAGTAGCACTGTAGTATCATTAGCCAGAAAACCACAAATTTAGTCATAAAATTATTTACTAAGAAATATTGTGTCAGACTTTAGTTTGAGTAAGTACTTATTTTATTTCCATTTCACTTGAATTACAAAATTGGGCATGAATGTCAAGAAAATGTAATTCTGAATGTGTCCACAGTTTAAGCGTAGAATCAGATTTAAACCGAGCATTTTGTATGCAATT